CGTCTGATCCGCATCTTCAGCAATGGCACTGTGCTCTACGCTCTTCGGTAAACACTGAATTTACAACTTCTTACCAAAGACTGAACAGCTGCTCCAGGCAGATGTATGTGCATCTGGGGAACCTTCCCACTGAAATGGTTCAATCAATATTCCTCCTTTTCTCCACAGCATAACAGCAACCATCGCCTGCAACATGGACCTCACCAAGTATCCTATGGATAGACAAGAGTGTACTTTGCAATTAGAAAGCTGTAAGCGTTTTCACTCTCAAACTGGTTTTTCCTTATTTTATTTTACTGGTTATTCAAGAGCAGCCTGTTCAAACCCTTAAATCTGTATGTGTGTGCATACATGTTCAGGGGGCTATAATTTACAGGATGTAGTGTTTTACTGGACCCGAGGGAATGACTCAGTGGAGGGGTTAGATACACTGCGTCTGGCCCAGTACAGTGTGGAGAGCTACTACACAACCGTATCTGAAGCGGTGTATGAAACAGGTAAAAACATCAAATTTTATTGTGAATATCTTGGCCACTTTTAGTTTATTTTACTAAAAAGTACCAGTCAGTCTTTCAGTCACATTCTACATTTATATTTACGCATTTGGCAGACGCCGTCTTTCTAAGCTGCTTACAGCGCAATCATGGTTTACAAAATCCCAAAAAAGAATTTGGACACTTAAGCCAGACTTAAAAGATGTATGAATGTCACTCCATTTGATAACAAAAGATCATCCAAGTGGCATTTCAAAGAAAATAGCACAAGCGCCACAAGCATAACTATTCCACAAAAAGAGGTTTTAGGTTTAGAATGATAATCCAAACAAGTGCATAGCATATTTGTCTGCAGATGCCACTTGGTTTGATCATGTGTTTATTTATTTTTTTAATGGACTAAAATTCATACTACTTTTTGGTCCCACTGTACATTTAATCATTACATGTATATCCTAGTAATCAAATAAAAATCAGTAAAATTTACAGTTAAAAAAAGCACCATAAATAATACACTGACAATCTATCAGCTATTACAGGATGGCATGTTGGTGCCTGTATATTTTATCTTATAATCACACATTTTTAAGTGATATAATATTAATGTTACTTATCTACTACAACTACCAATATTAGCATTTTACATTATAATGTACCGAAAACCACATGATAATACAGGTATTAAAACAGAAAGCAACCGCAGGGATTCTGGGAATGTATTTTTATGGTTTCTTAGACACACACACACACACACACACACACACACACACACA